CTTAGTTCAAACATGGACAAAGGAGCTGAATTCCAGAGGTGCGATGAGTGTGACAGCCCTTGACATCCACATCACATTCGACTGGGTGTGGCTTCAAGGAGCCCTAGCAAAATTGGAGTTATAAAATGGAGGTTGACTGCCTCCCTCTGAGTAATAAAACCGAAACACCCAAACAGGAGCACCTCGCCTATAATCTGTAAAAAGAGTGGGAGAAGTGGTGTGACCTGCCTTTCAGCAACTTACAGTGGTTAAATAAAATAAATCCCTGACAATCATTTTACAATCAACAAGTAACTATTTATTTATCTAACACTAACAGTGAACAAATTAACTAAACTATTAACAAACCAAATACACCCCTTTCTAATGACTAACTATTCCCGAAAAAAACAAGATTCAAATGGTATGCTGTTCCAATAAATACAAATCTCACTTATATAAAATAAATTTAAAAAATTAGTCTCAAAACTACAGACAAGTTACTTGTCTTGCGGAATGTTCTGTGCCTTCTCCGTCGATTCTTCTGTCAGGAATGTTAACTAGTTGTGCTGTTGGTACCTTTGATTTTTAGATGGTGCTTTTTCTAAGACTTAAGAGGAGACTGTGAGGGTGCACGATCCTTTCCTGAGAGCTGAGAGCTGGTAACCCTGGCAGACAGCAGTTAGTTCTCCTGTCTTTGTCCAACTGCCCTCTCTTTTTATATCTTTGATGACATATTAATTTCTTACAATAGGATTGGTCCTATGTTGTCAAAACCATCAGATTTAAATTTAATTGGTTTTTGGTATCTTAAGTGCCTGGTTCAAATTGATTGGCTAAATGCAAAACCTGTTGTCTTGGTAACAAAACAAAACTGCTGCTTGGCCCGTTAGCTGCGCAGCCTTTTGATACAAATGTTTCAATTCAGCTGCTCTCAATGTACTTTCACACTTTCAAGCTGCTCACAGGCATTTTATTTAAATCTCTAAGCATAGAAAAAGTATATCATTTTTTAAAGGGACCACACACTGCTTTCCCCCTAGCATTTTACAAACACCAAATTCTAACTTCCTGCCTCTCAATCCACAAGTACTCTACCCAACTTTGCAACAATTAAATCAATGGGCATCAGGAGGGCAAAGTCTCTGGTGGTTGGAATCATACTTGGCACATAGGAAGATGGTCGTGTTGGTTGGAGGTCTGTCATCTCAGCTCCAGGACATCTCTGCAGAAGTTCCTCAGGGTAATGTCCCAGACCCAACCATCTTCAGCTGCTTCATCCATGACCTTCCCTCTATCATAAGGTCACGCATGGGGATGTTCACTGATGACTGCACAGTGTTCAGCACTATTCATGACTCCTCAGATACTGAATGCAAAAAGATCTGGACAATATCAATCTTGGACTGACATAACATTAATGCCACACAAATCCTAGGCAATGACCATTTCTCATGAGAGATAATCTAACCACCACTCCTTGACATTCAATAGTGCTCCCATCACTGAATCCCCCACTATCAAAATCCTTGGGGTTACCATTGACCAGCAACTCTGCTGGACTTGATTGACTGATTGATTTATGGTCACGTGTACTGAAGTACAGTGAAAAGCTTTGTTTATGAGCAGTACAGACAGATCGTAGCAAGCAAGGATATACAGATCAAAATGAATTTAAGACAGAGGTACAGGTTACATTGCACAGGGCATGCACTAGATGAGATCAGGTTAGCAAGATCAATTATTATTTGAGGCTTGAGAGTCCATTCATCAGTCTAATAATGGCCAGGAAGAAGCTGTTCCTGAACCTGCTTGTGCATGTGTTCAGGCTTTTGTATCCTCTGCCTGACAGAAGAGGTTGTAGGAGATCATTACCAGGGTGTGATGGGTCTTTGATGACGTTGGCTGCCTTTCCATGGCAGTGGGCCATGTAAATAGAGTCCATGGATGGAAGGTTGGCTTCTGTGATGGTTTGGGCTGTGTGCACCACCTTCTGTAGTTTCTTACCGTCCTGGGCAGAGCAGTTGCTGTACCAGACCGTTATGTACCCAGACAGTATGCTTTCAGTGATGCATCTGTAGCAGTTGGTGAGAGTCCTTATGGACATGCCAAGTTTCCTGAATCACCTGACGAAGGAAAGGAGTTGTCGTACCTTGTTGACCATTGCATCTACATGGGAAGTCCGGGACAGGTTGTTGGTTATCATCATTCTGAGGAACTTGGCGCTCTTCACCCTCTCAACCTCAGTTCCATTGATATAGATGGGGACACATAAACACACTAGCTACAAGAGCAGGTCAGAGGCTAGGAATACTGCAGTGAGTAACTCACTTCCTGACTCCCCAGAGCCTGTTCATAATTTACAAGGCATAAGTGAGGAGTGTGATGGAACATTCCCCACTTGCCTGGATGAGTGCTGCTCCAACAACACTCAAGCAGCTTGACACCATCCAGGACAAAGCAGCCCGCTTGATTGGCATCACATCCACAAGTATCCACTCGCTCCGCCACTGACATTCAGTAGAAGCAGTGTGCATCATCTACAAGACACACTGCAGAAATTCAAGAAAGATCCTTAGACAGCACCTTCCAAACCCTGACCACTTCCATTGAGAAGGACAAGGGTAGCAGATACATGGAAGCACCACAACCTGGAATTTTCCCTCCAAGCCATACATCATCCTGATTTGGAAATATACAATCTTTCCTTCACTATGGCTGGGTCAATATCCTGGAACTCCCTCCCTAAGGGCGTTGCGGTGGACTGCAGTGGTTCAAGTTAGCCACTTACCACCGTCAAAGATCAGAATAAACCCTCTTCAAATATATCAAGGAGATAGCTTAGACTCTAACTTCTTTTAATTTAATGCTAAGTGTAAGGTGCCATGTTCCAGATGTAATTTGATTGGTTACACTATTGGGCTTTAAGCAATACACATTTTATTCTTAACCTACAGTTAATATACAAACTAAAGAATGAAGAATTGGTATAACTTTAACACTATTGGAAAACTTTAACAAAATAGATTATTCAACTACTGCACAGCAACAATTCCAATATAGTAACAACGCATGAACACATTCTTGGCAAAGGCAATGTCAGTAAGATAGATTGTCTCACATGCAGTTCTGGCAGCAGAGACAGAACCCAAGCTTTTGGTTGCAAGAGAGAGCGAAAGAGCGAGACAGCAAGAGAGACCACTTCCACAGCTAACTATAAAACCCCAACAAATGCTGAAAGCTAAACTAACATCCTAGTTGTGTGGGAACCTGACTCCATCCATTCATGCTGCTTCTATTGTTCCAACTTTAAACAAAAACTCTGAGGCCTCATGAGCTGTTTACTTCATTGGCTTGGAAGAGACAGATTGATACCAATGGCTCAAAATCTCTCTTCAAAAACAAAGACAAAGTACATCTCCCAAAGCCATAGTATCATCACACCATCACCTTCTCAAGGGCAACTAGGGGCAGGCAATAAATTCTGGTCAGCCAGCAACACCCACATTCCACAAGTGAATTTAAAAATAAGCAAGATTTGTACTTATATAGCCTATTTCTAGACATTTAAACACCTTAAAAAGTACAACTACTGTCGCAATGTTGGACAATCGATATCAATTTGGAGCCATCATGGTCCCATAATCAGTAATATTCTAATCATCAGATATATCTATTTGTGTGACAAATATTTGACAGGGCAGAACTTCCTCAAAATTATACCATAGGATGTTTATCTTTCATCCAAGGCAGCAGACAGGGCTTTGGTGTAACACCTCGATGAAAAGATGGCACCTCTTACAGAGTAGCACTCCCTCTGTCCTGCACTTAATGTCAGCCCGTATTATATGCTCAAATCCCTGGAGATGGAGTGCTGACTCTGAGGCAAGATTGCTACAATTTAGCAACAGCTGACAGTATACTCCGAGCCTTACTTTTCTTTCCCATATATTATCCGCATTCCCAACATTTAAGACCTCACAAAAGTGGTGCATTCACTTCAAACAAAGTGCTATTATGATTCTTTGAGAAAACATCTTCAAACTATCTAATATTATCAGTAGGTCGCAAGGCTACATTCATAGTTCCCATAGGCATTGGTATTTTGTAGGTAAGTGCTTCTCTGAAATTCCTAACCTACATAATTTTATGGAACAGAAATCCATGAACCATGACTATCCATGTGGGGAGACAGAAAGTGTTGTTGGGATTAAGAGATGTTAATTTATTTCACATGAATTTTTTTTAGTTATTTCACATTAATTGGTTGAATTGCTGAATGTGTGTCAGATGCAAACAGAGGAAAACCATCCATGGTCAAATAAACATTTGGTGACACATACAGTGACAGCTAATTATTGCGTAAGTGGGTCAGTCAACAGATAGAGTTCTGAATAATTATCAAGTGGGACAATGATTTCAAAACCTGCAGAGAACAAGAAAAAAAATTAATGGTAACTCAAAACAGACTCTTAAAGAATTCCATCTCTACTGTTTGGAGACAGTAAGGACTGCAGATACCGGAAGCCATATATGTGAAGCTGGAAAAGCACAGCATGTGAGACAGCAACTGAGGAGCAGGGAAGTCAACGTTTTGGGCCGAAACTCTTTGTCAGGTCTAGGGAGGGAGGGGTGTGGGGCTGGGGGAAAAGGTCAGTGGGATGTTGATAGGTGGATGCAGGTAGGGGTTATTGTGATTGGTCAGTGGGACGGGTGGAATGGATAGGTGAGTAGAAAGATGGATAGGTTAGGTGGGATCAGGGAGGCTAGGAGGAGGGGGAGGGCTGGCCATGGGATAATGCTGAGGGTGGAGGGATTTTGAAGCTGGTGAAATCAATATTGAGGCCACTGGGCTGTGAGTACTCCCTATCCTGCATTTGGGAATTAAGTTTAACAGACTAATTGAAGGATTTAGCCGCTGGCCTTGTTTAAATTGAGTGTCTTCAGTTATGCTATCTAGGTGGGTGGTTCAATACAGAGTATTGATTACAACAACACATTAGTTACAAATTAAACAAAAATTATTTTGGTATATTACATGTTTTATTAAAGAGTTTATTTATAAATTCTTACCAGCAGAATGAAATCTAAATATTCAGACCAGCAAAGTAATCACAAGCATAAAAACATTCCAAGTTATTTAAACAAAGGCAAAAAATGCAATTTAAACTTGCATTCATACTCAACAGTGATTTAGACTTCTAACAAGCCACTGACAAAATGTAATCTGTACAATTAATACAGACTGGTTTAATTTTTTTGTGAAATGAATTACTTCAAACTTAAATAAATTACTGAAACGTAACACAAGTAAGTTTTTCAAAAGAAAACTTAAGTGTGAGGTTTTCTATTGTTGTGCTAACTGTAGTATTTTTTGATAGCTAAAAGGTAAAGTCTAGCTGACCATAGGGATGCTTTCTTATGAGATAGAGATGACTGGTGACGGTTTAACCTGAGGGTCACCATACCTTAGGCGAGGGGAGAGGTTGAGATGGAGAGTCCTTAATGGTAAGCTCAGTCGGTACAGGAATTGAACCCATAGTTGTCAGCACAACTCTGCATTGCAAGCCATCAAGTCAACTGAACTAACTGACCCACCTCTCTATTAAATGGGCTCAATGTCAATACAATAGATTACAGTAGCATGTAAAACAGAAATTTCTTGACATTACATCAGGCAAATTAACTCAAGTTTTGAGAGCTGTGTATTTGGTGCAACTGAGCATTTAATTTTAGGTATAAGAAAAGCTGTTCTAGATGTCCCTGTGGTCCTTTAGTTTCTTTGCTGAGGATTACCTCCCCCTTCATTGCACCACTACCGAGAAGAATTTCTGGTTTGCATATCTGAAACTGTCTAAATACTTCAATTCCAACACAGATGAAAGCAATGATTTACAAATTTCTGTGCAAACCTTTTGCCCTAACACCTGGGGGAGTAGAATAAACTACCCATAGAAAAGCAGATTTTAAACAAACTTAAGAAATACTTCAAACTGATGACCTTGTCAGAAGAATCTTAAAGTGCTGGGGTTTGAATTTGAAAATTTAAACAGAAAAAAAAAAACAAAACACACCGATTGTTATATTATTGATATGTGATAATTGCTGTAAGTATATATAGTTCCTTTGTTTATTTGTTAGATATTTCTGGTAAATATTCTTTAAGCCATAAGACAAAATAAAAATGTTATTTTTTCTTATTTGAGTTTTCTGGTGGTAACCAGCCTCCTGGCTGGAAGGTATTTGCTGTACTTGTGGGTTCTGAAGATAGCTTATCCTTTCCAAAGTAAGTTGCAGAGGCATGTCCCTTGATTTGAGTTCGAATTGGCCGTGCAACAAGACCTTCCTCATATTCCTTCTCTCTCCTAATCTCCTCCTTCTGTTGTACTTCATCGGCATTTATCTTTATCATTTTCCTGTATTCTTCATTGTGTAGAATTTCCTTTGCAAATACAAAAAAAACCAATTTTTATACACAAATTTCAATATTGTTTTGGTCTATATATCCTAACGAGCAATTTACTTTGCACTGAATCAAGTTTACTAAAAGAATTAAAATCTTGGTACATGGTTACAGCAAATACATTGAAATACTGAATTGGCCAATTTATCACAGAAAGAATTTCAACATGGTTGTTCCTCTATTTTATGATATCCTTTCCTTCACAGCTCTCATTCTGATATGCTATTTTCCTTCCAATCACAATGTATTAATTTCACCATACTGCCATTCTTTTGGGACACACCATTTAGAATTAAGGGAAAGAACTGATTGCTTTTTCAAATAAGTCTGAGCCACTGGTTTATTTCAAAGAAAAAGATCTTATACAAGTCAACTGTGTTCTTATTGAAAGTTCTTCTGTTGTACCTATAGCAGTAAAAGCTATTATAGTAGATGTTGTTCTTGGTACTTTTAAAATCAACCTGGATATTTTTGCATAAATATTTGCTTGAAGAGTGCTTCATCAACTCCTTTGTTCCTTTCAGTCTCAGGTTTTCCACGCTTATTGCATCCCCACCACCTTCCTTATTTTTATAACAATGGCGTACACTGCCTTAGATCAGCAGGATATAAAAGCCTGAATATTACTGGAACTTATCTGAACTGTTAACTGTGGCTCCAGTTCTGTATCAACCCCCTCCTCGAATTAAATTGCTTAATACAGCAACACAATTCTGAAGTACATAAGACACTTCAAACACTTTCTCTCTAATGTCAAACAAAACAAAGACAAATGTAAGGTGCTGCAGGTCAAAATGTGTCTTATAAACACTGCATGAATGGTATTGAGGGTGAAGCTGAAAGAACCTTGCAGGTCTTAATAGATAACTCAGCAATTAACAAACCCAATGCAATGATGAACTTGATGGACAATATTAGCATGTAAATCAGGGGAGGTTGTGATCAAATTATACAGCTTTCTAGTTAAACTGCAGTCTTCAGTAACGAGACAAATGCTGATGCTGCAAGACAAGGAAGATAATTAAGAACTGGAGGTTCTGGAACAACATGGCTAAGTGTTTAAAGTCAAGGGTCTAACTAAGGAAAATATTATATTGAGGGAAGAGATGATTGAAAAAGAGTATTTGAAGAGTTAGGAGAACAGAAAAAAGTAAATATAGAATATAAGTAAGTTAAATTGCAAGAGATGGAATAGGGAACAGGGATTCAAAGTGGTAAAACTTGGTTACCTGGCTCAAGCATAGTTGGCAATTTCTTTTGGATAGTCCGAGACTTTTTCCCAGGCGGAAATGACTATTACGAGGGCGCATAATTTTAAAGTGATTGGAGGAAGGTATAGGGGAGACGTCAGAGGTAAGTTCTTTACACAGAGTGGTGGGCTTGTGGAATGCACTGCCGGCAGTGGTGGTGGAGTCAGATACTTTAGAGACTTTTAAGCGACTCTTGGATAGGCACATGGAGGATAGTAAAATGTAGGGTATGCAGGATAGTTTGATCTTAGTAGGATAATAGGTCGGCACAACATCGTGGGCCGAAGAGCCTGTACTGTTTTATGTTCTATAAAAGCAAATTTAGTATAATTATCAAATAGGTTATTTTTCACAAAAAAGCATGATAGCATATAGAATAAACTTGCAAACAGAATGGTGAGGCAAAAAATCTGGTATCATATGAAAAGAAACTGGACACTGCAATGTGGGGAACTTTATATCCTTTCATACTGGATCAAATAAGTTGGATCTGAAGCAGTTGATCAAATCAAGATTGAAGACTTGATATGTTGGCGGGGGCTATTGGGATTATTCCCAGTTTTGCTGAAGTTCAGTTGGAGGGAACTTTAGTTCATCAACTCTTCAGTACATGGCAACAACTGGTGGCTGAACGGAAAAGAACAATAAGACAAACAGCTTCATAATAAAGTGGTATTGCACACATTCAACAAAAGAGCTGCTGAAATGAAAACTGGAGACATATTCGAGTCCTTATGCCATCAAACGAAACCTGGTTAGTGATGGAATCAAACAATTAACGTTTCTATTAAAAGCAAAATGCGGATACTGGACATCTAAGACAAAAACAAAATGTTGGAGAAACTCAGCAGGTCTGGCAGCATCTGTGGAGAGAGAAACAATGTTTCAAGTCCAAAGTGACCTTTCTTCAGAACCAAAGAAGAGTCACGCCAATCTCCTTTCCTTTTTCCATAGCACTTCAATTTCTTCTACTTCCCATTCCCATTTCAAAGTTACAACTGAATCTGTTTTCATCACATTTTCTGGCAGGATTTACTGAAGAACAGAGCCTTACTCAATTAGTCATCTTTCAGAACCCCATTTCACTCATTGGATTAGAAGACACACAGTGTGATTAGACAAAATATGCTGAAAATGCTTAGTGATTCATATTTTTTAACAAAATGATGTATTATAAAAAGGTTCCAGTTAACATTGGACAAAGTACAAAGATGAAAGGAAAGAAAATATCATGTACTGGTCCGAATACTCAGAATTTAGGAAGAGTTTCAGAAATACTCTTTAAAGGAAGGGAATTTACTCTTTAAAGAAAGGAAGTTAAAGGGATTAAAGGAAGGAGTCAGAAGAATGGAGAATTCAAAGACAGGTATCATAGAATTGCAGGGAGTCAGAGACTGGAAAGGCAAAGGGGGAGGGGGGTGTGGTGGGCGAAGTCATTTGAGGATTATTTTGAAGCATTGTGAGACAGGAAGACAATGATTATACAGTCACCATTAGATTAACCCCTGATCCTGGATTTTACTAATTTCAAATTTCACCATTTGCTGCGGTGGGAAACAAACCCATGTCCCCAGAACATTAGACTGAGGTGCTAGATTACCAGTCCAGTGACATTACTACAACACCACCAACTCTCTAATACAGTAGCAGCAATGTGAACCATCTACATAATGTGCTGCTGAAATTCACCAAGACTTGTTAGATAGCACCTTCCAAATCCATCACCACTATCACTTAGTAGGATATGGGCAGAAGATAAATAACTGCCACCTGCTAATTTCCTTTTAAGCCACTCACCCATCGTGACTTGGAAATGTACTGCTGTTACTTCAGTGTCACTCAGTCAAAATCCTGGAATTCCCTTCTGAACAGTGCTGCAGCCTACCTACTCTAAATGGACTCCAGCACCTAAAGAAGGTAGCTGACTACCCACAGCCAGCCAGGAATGGCCCCATCTCATGAATAAATATTTTAAAAAGTGATTAACAGGTTAAATTGGATTTCAGAAAGATTACTGAAAACTGAATATTTTAAGATCATAGTTGATATACCAGAGGGACAATATCAAATGGTCCTAAATTTGAATCTATTTGTGGTCTTGTAAAAAGTATCAGCTGTAGGGAGTCAGTTAAAATGAAAAGACATTCTTCAGAAATGAAGCTGGAAAACAAATAACAGTGTATGATGTACTGCCATAACTGCAGGACTAATCTATTATATCTCAGGGTATTCCTTTGAGATCAATGTTTTAAAGCACTGCTTACTCAGAGTACATATCTCTGTTAGTGTTTTTCTGGTCTCTTAAATGTGTTATAGTAACAGCCCTAGTCCATCTATTCTAATTAGGGGAGTTATATTAACGCTAATTGTGCACAGGTGTGACAAGACAAGATTATACCTTAAGTGATATCCTGAAATGAAAATAACAAGACAAAACTACATCATGCCCATAATTTTTATTAGCAATACTCAAATTATGACAGAGAAGATCAAAAATATATTAACTTAAACTACATATTATCACAACCGAATAAAATAATATCCTTCACTATAACAATAGGATCTAGATTTCATATTGAAATGTAAATTCAGTCTCTGATTAGTACAAACTATTCAATTTCTGTGTTTGTGCTACTGCTTCTAAACTATAAAAGCGGACAGTACATAAAATTAAAAAAAAAAAGCATTTTAATTGTTGATTTATACAGTGATTGCAGCTCACTATATAGTCTTTTTTTGTTGGGTTAGACATGTTCGTTGGAATTTTACATGCTATTTAAATCAAGGGACAAACTGTGAAGTCAAATATAATAGATGGGACAATCAAAAGTTAACTCTTCAAAAAACTAAGCGTATATAAATAGGCTCAAAAAAGGAGGGTTTTATGAAAGTTCACAAATATCTCACATACGTGATTTTTGGGCCTTCTTTAAGTTGGGGATTGACTCATACAAGAACACAAGGTCCATATGTTGCTGTCAGCAACAAATAAACGTTCTATAGTACTTATACTTTCCCACAGACTTTCTGTGAGCTTTTGTATTGGAAGTTGAACAGCCTGTTTTCTTTTTCCATTTGGTTGTGTCCAGTCTAATTCCACTCTAGTGGGGTGTATATCCAGGAAGCAAAATACTTATCCTGTCAATCTCAATGATATTTTTGTCACAATGTCTTCGGGGTACATCTGACGTCTGAGTCCTGTGTAGCACCTCTTTATGAGTAATGTTGTCTCTCCATCAGATGTTCTAGATCTTAGGTAGGAAAACTGGTGGAAGGTGACCAACTTGCAACTTTGCTGTTCTCTTCCATGCCTCACGGCATTGATTGCAATTGGTACTATTATAGACTGATTGGGTTGGACATGTTAATGTTGTTGTTGCTGGAAGACTGATGCTGCTTTATGCACTCGAGTGGATGCTGATCTCTTCATCACCTTTTCTGGAGGTGCACCTAGTAGGTAAGGGAAGAAGTCAACATCCTTGATGCTCTGTCGCCTGATGGTGATGGGGAGGCCAAATTACCATTGTCTTGGTCTTCTCAGTTAAATGCACAGACCAACTGTGGCACCATTACTCTCAGACTGGTGGTCCCCTCCTGGAATGTATGTGATTTTGTGGCTAGCCAATAGGTGATATAATCTGCTGCTTGTCGAATAATTATGATACCTCAACAATATACATCATGTACTTCTTAGGTGCTTACATGGAATTAGGTTCCTAATTCAAGAAA